CTTTCCCTAATTAGCATTTAAAAAATTAATTACTTGTTACACAAGTTCCTGTGAATTTGATACTTGGACTTTTGTCTATTTTACTACTTATGACAATTGATGTACTTGTCAAAAGTTTAACAAACGACATAAATTTTTGCGCTAACATTAGTAGTGTAGTCATAATATCCTAAGAACCCAACAAGCCGAGAACTCATAATGTCACAAACAATATCATCAAACCCAAAAGGTATCAAGTTGCCCTAATAGTTGCCATCAACGTTAAGCTTGATTGTTGCTACAGGAGGAGGGGACTAAGAGATGTCCTTGATTTGATAATTAATAGTATCAGACTTCAAGGTGGAAAGAAATGGAATTGTGGAGGTTGCCCATGTTGTTGAAGATGGACTAGGGAGAACCAAAGAGGTCATTACATGGACTTTGGTGATATAATTAAGGTGATGTTGTTATATATGAAAACCTTAAACAAAGTTTTACACATTAAGAAAAATAATAGTGGATTTATCGTGCATCTTAAAAGAAATTATATTTTGTTTTAATTATTGTTTTCTATTAACAACATGACATAAAATGTTTTAAACATGTATTAAGTTGTATATATCAAAATAGTGTGAGACTAATGCAAAAAATTTAAAAATAAATTATCTACAACTTTCATAATACATCTAAAAGTAAAACAACCATTTAAGGATCAAATAATTTATAGACAAAGACAACTTTATTTTATGTAAGATTAAATTGTAATTGAACTAATCAACATTTAATGAGCTCATTCTTTGGACAAACACTTTAGTTAACCTTAAATGAATTTTATATAAATGTCTCTTTAAGGATCATAGAATGACCATTTAGTTTAGATTTCAAACCTTTTATATTGGTTGAATTTTTTCTAATTTTCTTTTATTGTTTTTATTTTCTTCAGGTATTTGGCTTAAAGTCTCCATAAAAACGGTTAAATTTTGTTTAGTTTTTAATTTATTGGTGTAATTTTTTTATTATGGATCTTGAGGTTCAATTTGATTTATTTTTTTTTTATTTTCCTTTACCCTTATTGTCTTTTTTATTTTAAGTCTTTTTCTTTTTGTAATGGGAGGAGGGTCATTTAAATTTGGATTTTCATGGTTGACGAATATGTTGAATGCTTAGTTTGACATGCTCTCGTTTTGTTCCGAGAATTATTAGGTAACTTGGATCTCAAGAGCTTATCAAGGTTAATGTAAGCCTCAAAACTCAAAAAATGCTTATAAAAGTATTTACAAATTACTCATCAACAAGGTCCGTATATCAACAGTGAGAATTGAACTCACAACCTTATGAGATATGAATTTGTTCTTATGAGATATGAATTTGTTTTTATTATAAGCAAAATGTAGTCAATCTTGACTTATGCATTTTGATATGATCAAAATGATGTTGCCTTTATAAATTAAAAGCAAAATAAAACTAAGTGTGTTGTCTTGCACCGTTTCCTTGAACCAATATCAAAAAGGAATAAAAGTAAATTTTGACTAAGTATGTGGCTAATACTTGTCGAGATTTTTATGTTGCATGAAAAGAATAATGGTTTGTTAATGGTACAAAATAATTAGAATAATTTTGGGCACGTTGTTGGAAATTTAGAGAAATTTTGTTTGAAAATTTGACAGTTCTCTCGAAAGGGCAATTACGCTTTTTTGAGTAGTAAGTTTTCTCAAAATCTCAACAAAACTTTTTTAGAAACATGACTAATTGTGGAGTAGTTATCAATAGTAAAAGAAAAAAGTTATTGCCTACCTTTAACATGTAACAAACTCGACAAATGTCATTATCTTGTAATAGAATATGTAGCTACATACATATGACAAAACATTATATTTTGATCATTAGAATAAGAATTCTGTAAATAGGAAACCTAAGACATCATTTTTCTTTCATGAGTATATCTCACACTACATTTCAAACACTATTAATGTCACACATACAACTTTAGGTTCCTGGAAAATAGTATATGTAACTAATTAAGTAGAGTAATTTCTTCTTTCTGAATCTTGTCTTTCAATAACTCCCTTTTTTATAGTCTATATAGTTCATTCTTTACCTATGATCCCTTCTTTTCATATGACCTCTTCTCATGTCTATGACTCCTCTTTTGATGATCCATTCTTTTAAATATTTATCTATGTGCTTTCTTTTCTACTTAATAAATAAAATCAACATAAAAACATAAAAAAAAATATTATATGTCATATATGTTTCATGTTCAATTAACATGTCTTAAACAAAAATCCAAAAATCATATTTGTTTTACATAATCAATGTATTGACTAAATGTAATATATTTATCAATGTCAAAACATATTTGTTTGTTTATGCTCAATGTTGTATAATAAATAATAAAGTTAAAATTAAAAATATATGTTATAATAAGTCGTAATTGTTGAGTTTTCATATTTATATGTGTTCATTGTTGTTTTTGTTGAATTTTATGCACTATATGTTATATTAGTTGTTGGGATACAATTAGGGTGAAAAAGATAGCTTTTATTGTAGGGTGATGTTAAAATTGTTAGGATATAATCAACCTTCTACATCATTAAAACAAGAGGATGAACATAGGTTTATAAATACACAATTATCTTCATTGGTATGTGACTTTTTAGAAGATGACAAAAAACAAAATTATGAAAGTATAAGCTCAAAGTAAATAATATGATACTGATGTAAATACATGTGTGAAGGAACCTCTAGTGCACATCAATTAGTATTAAAGTTGATGGTTTCAACTATGTGATCAACTAAACAAGTATGATAGAGTTGACAAGTGGAGGCGTGTCTCACTATCATGAACCAACGGTAGAGCGACAATACAATTATACAAGTACCTATAACATGACTAAGTTTTATGGACCTATAACAAATGGATGAACATGAGCTTATAAATACATACAAAGTCTCCATTAGTAATGACTTTTTTGTGAGATGACCAAAAGCAAAACGATGGAACCCCCAACACACAACATTAATACATGTGTTTTTTTTGTTATTATTTTAAAATTATATATGTTGTTTATCTTGTATCTTAATCTTATCTAAAAATAACAAAACATTACCTTCGTCTTTATTTATAAGATCTAACTTAGAATAATTGTTTATTCTTTTACATAAGACCCAATTCAAAGTGTTTAATATATTAATTATTCTTTTAGACTAAAATACCTGTGGATTTTTTTTTTATAAAAATAGAATAAACTTATTGTTATCTACTAGATTAATTACTTTTTTTAATTTTGATGAATAAGATATCTGAATCTTATATATAAAAATAGAGGTAACATAATTTTTAAACACAAGATATTACTAAGTTGAAAACCTTGTTGTTAGTCCACCCAAAAAGAATTCACACAAAATTGAGATTATTACCCTAGTAAAATAAAATATATTTGTTAGATTTTTGTGAGAAATTACCTTTTTAGAATTCAAAATTCTTTTTTGAGTTCTAGATACCTTTCTAAAAATACTTTTGTTGAAAAAAAAAAGATAAAAATATTTGTTAAAAAAATAGTTCATAAAAATACATTTATTCAAAGAAATTATTCTAATCTATATATATAAATGAAAGATTGAGTGTCGAGAAGTCATTTGGATT